AGGTAGAGACGCTTTTTCCGAAAAGTTATCCATCAAAATACCAACCAAAAATTATCCACCAACATAAATGTTATAGGAACTGATAATCTTAGCTTCATTCATAGGTTAAATTCACAAGGTGGATCTTGAGGCAGTACAATCATACAACAAACTCGTAAATCTAGCAGACAAATTTCGTTCACTGATAAACTATGCAGGTAGATCTTAAAGCTGATTCCAAGGCAAACAATCATTGAAGATGCTCTGGTTGAAGTGTCAAAGAAGAAAAGGAGAAAGGTCAACAGAAACGTGTGACTTACATGGAGTCAAACCAAAGTAGAGGCGATAAACAGAATTAGCTCTGTCCCGCTTAATAAAGCAATGAATTGGGGATTCACGGGGACCCGGCTGTTCCAAAGCAGAAACGGAAAAAAGTATGATCTCTTGGTTTTACTTTTTTGTAATTGGCAACAGGAATAAGATAATCCATCGAACAGATTAAGGTAAATACCTGCTTCAGTGAAATGGGGAAAGTGAGCCTACCACATTCCTCAGGAGTCTTGACAATTTCTTTAGTAACTTCCCTCCATGACTTACAAACGGAAGCACAAAAGACTACAACGGTCCGAGCAGGCCATGACGTCTCACTCTCTTCAACCCTGCGGATAATATCCAATAGCAATTCTGATGCTAAATTTGCCCATTGGCCTTGTTCGTCGGGATCAAAATGTGATACATCAGGTGCTATATGTGATCGGGTTCTGTTTCGCCAATGCCTTCCTTCCATTCCCCTCCTTGATATACTCCCTATCCCATCTTTCATCTCTCTCAGCTCACGGACAATGCTCTTAAACGACATCTCTATTTATCACATTAACAAGCCTTTCCTACAACGGAATGGCAAAAAGTTTAGAACAATCAAAAAACATTTAGAACAGTAAAGAGCAGCCCGAAGCACTAAGCTCTCGCTATGAGCGGGGTCCGAGAAAGGGCCGGACCACAAGGGTCTATTGTAGACAGCCTTACCCTGCATTTCTGCAAGAGGCTGTTTCCACGGGTTGAACCCGGTGCCCTCCTGGTCACATGGAAGCAAATTTACCAGTTACGCCAAGGATCCCCTTCAACATTTAGAAGGGTGAAAATGAGAATTACTTTGGCCCTCAATGATCATGTTCCTGTTTATCAAGAAAAACTTTCAAGAATTTACCCCTTTTGACAGCATACACTGTTTTTAACTAGCAGATCTGACACTACTAGGTTTAGCCTCTATTAGTCAACCATCAACTACGCCTTAATCCCAAACAAAGTTAGAGACGGCTATATGAATCGTCTACGCCATTTCGCTCAATTTGGCTCCAAATCATTCGAATACACATGAGGGGGAAAGAGTCTATTTGCTCAATTTCTAGCACAGCTCTAGAATAAAATAATTACCCCATGATGAGCATTGAAATTAAATTGATTTGGGGGTGAGGTTGACAGGAAATCAAGTGAAAAAATAGATATTTTCTCAATCTCTAGCACAGCTCAAGAATAAAAATCAAAACTTTATTAGGAAATCAACTGATCCCAATTCAAAAATTGAGCAAAAATAGAACACCCACAATTTAAAATACCCATCTCCACAAATGCAAATAGATATTTGCACAATTTCTACCACAGCTCAAGAATAGAAAAATAAAAATTGGAACTTTATTAGAAATTAAACTGTTCCCTGTTCAAAAATTGAGCAACAATAATACACCCACAAAGGCAAATTAACACAAAACAGAAATACCAAAAATGGGCTTCAGAACTTTAACATGAAATGAGAAGAAAGACAAAACAAAAAAATGAAAACTTTAAATCTGGAATGAAAGCTTTAAACAGAAAAACAGAAATAAAAAAACACCAACAAAAAATGGGTCTGAATTGTGGGGCGGGGGGGGGGGGTGGGGGGGGAGGAGA